GCTAACTGAGGGTTAATCAGATCAAAGGAAGGAATTGAGGGTTCTCTAGTAATTTCCTTCTGGCTCTTTCTGTAAGGAAGGGTCCAGTCTCCTCAAGATCAGCTGCTGGAGGTCTTTAAAGGCCTTGCTTTCTGTATCCACAAGGTGAGTCAGACTTAGGAGTTATGACTTTATTATTACCTAGAAGTAAAAAGCGTTCCACTACTTGTACTTAGTTGATTGGTTATAAGTTGGAGTTACATAATGGTTATTTAGGGTTGGCTTCCCTATCTGCATCTGATTGATAACTCTTAGTTCACCTCACCATGGCTAACTCTCTCACTGTGGGGAAATCATGACGCAATTTCAGGTTTCTGTGTTCCATTCTAGGAATTCTGGAACCGAAACCTAGGCCTAGCTTCTTTGGTTTCTTTATGAGCCTGTCACGACTCTGCTTTTCTTCTCTATCTCTCACCTTCATGGCAGTGCTGTGATAGACTTTTCTCTTTGAAATCAGGCTTCAACAGCATTTAATAGTTCCTGGGAGGAGTTTGGCACCATTTTCAAACACTCCCTAATCCAAGTGTCATTATGCTGGTTAATGGCATTGATCTAAATCCAGATTACTAAGAAGTTGTTAAAATAGATATGCATAAGCTCCAGTTCATACTGGCTTATTTGGATGCCCCCTTTTCCCTTTTCAGTTCCACATTTCTTAGGTATCTTCAAAATACTCACTTTCATGTTTTCTGTTAGAAATGTTGAATATTCGTTTATTTTCTCCATTGTTTAATTTTCTTTTGTTTATTTTGGTTTCTGGCCACATCCTGCTATGCTCAGAGTTTACTCCTGGCTCCTTACTCAGGGTTCACTCCCGGTGGATGTCAAGGGACTATATAGGGTGCTGAAGATTGAATCTAGGTCAGCCTCAATGTAAGACAAGCACCTCACCTACTATAAACTATCTTTCTGGTTCCATATATTATCTTTCTGGTCCCATATTTTGTTTTCATCATTTGCCTGTTATTTTGTATGCATTTGATTATTTAATTTTCTACCTCATTTTACATGAATACTAGGTTTTTAACTGACTTAAATATTACTTAGACTCATGAATTTGAATATATTTCACTTGTAATCATGGATAGCTATTTAAACTTGACATTCATTTGTGACACTGTATGGTCATAATGAGTAAATGTATGCCCATCTAGTCTGGTTCTTTTCACCTCCACATCCCTAGTGTTATGGGTATTGTCACTACACAACATTCAACTAAAAAGAAACATCTAATTATTTAAAATTTATTTTTTTTGGAAGGGGGAAGCGAAGGGAAGATTGGGTCATACCTAGCAATACTCAGGGTTCACTCTTGGCTTTGTGCTCAGGGATCACTCCTTTTGGTACTCTAGGGATCATCTGTGTGTACAGCTAGGAGCTGAACAGAAGTCAGCCAAGTACAAAACAAGATACTTAATTCTTGTACTCAGGGAGTTTTTTAAAACAAATTTTTCACAAATCTGGTGCATGGCTCACGTAAGAGTAGAAACATTCTGAAAAATTGTATGAAATGATAGCAAAAGAAAAAAATTCTTCTGGATAAGTGACTTACTCAGAGAGAAGTTAGAGAATCTTATGTAGATCATCTACACTAACAAAAAAAAGTACAGATTGACTCCTTTGGAATAGGCTAGAAATTAGATCTGTTAGACTTTTAGTTCAGCAGACCTTGGCATAAATGACTCAAACTTCAGTCTGATTGTTTTTCAACAATATTAATTGGGTTAATAAAGAGTATTAATTGAGGTAGTTGGGTTCTTGGTTTATATGTTCTCTTTAGTTCTGTCTGTGAAGTAGTAGACACCCCTCTATTTTGAGGAGATACCCAAATAGATTACTTCACTCCAATTTCCAATTCTGTGTATTGAAGATCTATTTTATGAACCTTGTATATAACTTTTTGTTTCATCTTGGTTTGGGGGCCACACTCAATAGTGCTCAGGGCTTATTCCTGGCTCATGGATCACATTTGGAGTAGCTGGTAGACCATATGCTATGGCAGGGATTTAACCCAGGTTGGTAAGTGCCTGTACCATTTTTCTGATGCTATATGTCACTCTCACCATCCGTACTTAAATTTTGATGAAAGGATTTGCTCCTACCATTACTTATTGTATTAGGATGATTATTAAAATCATTACATATGTATAGTAGTGACAGCAATTGTTACAGAACAGATGTTAGAGTAGATTTTCAGATAAAAAACATGTTATAAGAGAGTCTGGTGTTTACCAGTCATAATGAGTCACTGTATGTCAGCAACAATAATGATGCTTGGAGAGAAATACATTTAAAAGCCCAGACCTCAAAAGAAACATTGGACTAGGACTTTTCCTCCAAACTGCCAGGACCTTCCCAGCTCCCAGGTAATCTCTGACTCCGGAAGTCATGGCCACAACCTGCTCCCCAGCGCCATCTTTACAGCACACAGCCGCAGAGAAGAAAGGCCGTGTGTGTGTGTGTGTGGGGGGGGGGTTCCACAGCTCCCGGAGAAGACACCAGGTCCCAAAAAGAGCCGAGATCACCAGGAAGTTCCAGATGAGGTAGGTGCCACATCCCGCCTCCTCCAGATGGAACCCCGGTGACCAGAAGCCTCTACAAGCATAGCTCGAGTATGCAGGAACTAGTACTTTTCCTCAAAACCGTGGCCACTTACGCGGCTTACGTGGCCGCGTGACATCTCCGTTTATACAAAGTGATCAATGGAAAGTAAAATCATCCAATGTTTTTCCCTGAAAATCAGGCTTAACTCTTATACAAAGCACAACACCCAATAGGAGAGAGAGAACAAAAGGGAATGCCCTGCCACAGAGACAGGGTGGATTGGGGAGGGTGGGGGGTGGGAGGGACACTGGGATCCACGGTTGTGGGAAATGGTCGCTGGTGGAGGGATGGGTATTCAAAATAAATAAATAAATTTAAAAAAAAGAAACATTGGCCAGAATAGAAAGACAGTCTACAGAATGGGAGAGGATATTCACCCAATACCGATCTGATAAGAGGTTGATATCAAGGATATACAAGACACTGGTTGAACTCTACAAGAAGAAAACATCCAACTCCATCAGAAATGGGGCGATGAAATAAACAGAAACTTTCTCAAAGAAGAAATACGAATGGATAAAAGGGATATGAGAAAATGCTCTATATCACTAATCATCAGGGAGATGCAGATCAAAACAACAGTGAGGTATTGTCTCACACCACAGAGACTGGCCCACATCCAAAAGAACAAAAGTAACTGGTGTTGTCATGGATGTGGCTTGAAAGGGACTCTCCACTGCTGGTGGGAATGTTGACTGGTTCAGCCCTTTTGAAAAACAGTATGGACGCTTCTCAAAAAATTAGAAATTGAGCTCCCATTTGATCCAGTAATACCACTTCTGGGAATATACCCCGGAGAGGCAAAAAAGTACAGTAGAAATGATATCTAGGGTTTGTATGTTGTATGTTCATTGCTCACTGTTTACAATAGCCAAAATCTGGAAAAAACTCAAGTGCTCAAGAACAGTTGACTCGTTAAAGAAAATCTGGTACATCTATACCGGAATACTATGCAGTTGTTAAAAAAGATGAAGTCATGAAATTTGCATAGAAGTGGATCAACATAGAAAGTATCATGTTAAATGAAATGTGTCAGAAAGAGAGGGACAGACATAGAAAGATAGCACTCATCTGTGGAATATAAAGTATCAGAATAGGAGACTAACACCCAAGAATTGTAGAGATAAGGACCAGGAGGTTTGCCCCATGGCTTGGAAGCTGGCCTCACATACTGGGGGAAAAGGCAGCTCAGATAGAGAGAGGACCACCAAGTAAAGGGTGTTGGGCGGACCTGCTTGGGTTCGAAGATGCCGAAAGTAGACTATAGATTGAACACGATAGCCACTCAATACTTCTATTGAAAACCACAACATCCAAAAGGAGAGAGAGAACAAAACGGAATCCCTCCACAGAGGAGGGTTTGGGTGGGGGTGATGGGAGGGATACTGCAATCATTGGTAGTGGAGAATGGGCACTGGTGGAGGATGGGTACTCGATCATTGTATGACTAAAATGAAAACCTGAAAGTTCATAAGTCTGTAACTGTACTACAAGGCAATTCACTTGAAGAAAACAAAAAGCTCAGATTGAAGTAGCTGGGTTCTTTTACCATTGAGGATGTATTTGAGCATGGGAAGGAAAAAGTGGGTAGATAAAGTTCTTACATGATCTTGGTAGAAAAAACATTGGTTTGTCCTATTTTTCAGTAAGATCTAAGAAAATAAAGTATTTATTTATTTATTTTTTAAGCTTTAATTTTTTTTTATTAGTGAGACACCATGAGGTACAGTTGTAGACTTACAAATTTTTGTGCTTGGGTTTCGATTATACAATGACCAAATACCCATCCCTCCACCAGTGCCCATTTCCCACCACCCCGAATCCCAGTATCCCTCCCACCCCCCATCCCCCCATCTCACCCTGCCTCTGTGGCAGGGCATTCCCTTTTGTTCTCTCTCTCCTTTTGGGTGTTGTGGTTTGCAAAAGAGGCATTGAGTGGCAATCATGTTTGGTCTATAATCTACTTTCAGCATGCTTCTCCCATCCTGGGAGGAGGATCCTCCCAACACCCTTCATTTGGTGCTCCTTTCTCTCTATCTGAGCTCCCTTTTACCCTAGCATGAGTGGCTGGCCTCCAAGCCATGGAGTAAAATTTCTGGTACTAATCTTGGCCAGAAAATAAAGTACTTATAGAGATAAGAATGCTACTTATTTTGTGATGTGAACTGAGATTAAGTGAAATTTTAATGAAAAGTTATTTTTTGTCAGGTCTTCAGTCTCTTTTGCTTGTTTCTCTCCTTTTTCTTTTTTCTCTTTATTTTTTGCCTGATTTTGACATCTACATAATATTAGATATCAAAATATTTTATGCTTACCCTTATGACTCTGCCCCATTCAACTTCCTAATTTTGCAGGGAACTGTGAAGAAAAGATCCTCCTAAGTCAGAGTAACTATGAGCAGAGGAGCAGCAGCCATGGCTACAGAAATCCTGAGAAACTTACAGGAAGACGTAACCTGCCCCATTTGCCTGGAACTCCTGAGAGAACCATTGAGCCTGGACTGTGGCCACAGCTTCTGTCAAGCTTGCATCACTGCGAGCAGCCAGGAGTCAAGTCAAGCAGGGAAGAACAGCTGTCCTGTATGCAGAACCATTTATGATCCTGAGAACATGAGGCCTAATCGGCATCTGACCAATTTAGTAGAGAGGCTCAGAGGGGTCAATTTAAGCCAAGAGGAGGAAGAGAAGAAGGATCTTTGTGAGCAGCATGGAGAGAAGTTGCTGCTCTTCTGTAAGGAGGACTGGATGTTCATTTGCTGGCTGTGTGAACGGTCTCAGGAACACCGTAGTCACCACACACTCCTCATTGAGGAGGCAGCCAAGGAATGCAAGGTAGAGACCAGATGGAAGGGCAGAACAAAACGTGGGACTGATTACCTTGCCAGGAAAGCCCAGAGACCTGTAGTTTCTTTTTCTCTATGTTCAATCTCTGATGTCTAGAGAACATGTTTGTGCTTTTAAGTTCCAAAAAGATTGGCCTACAATACAGAACTTAGCCAGAAGTTTGAAACTTGTCCTAGATAGGGGACACTGGATGCTTCAGAAAAGGTCTTAACATCTTTTTGAATAGGTGAAGTGGGATAGAGGTGAATTATGATGTAAATTCTTCCCTTATGACAGGAGTAGATTAATCATTTAAGAAAGAGAAATCATTCTCTTGGGGACAGATGGTGACCACTAATTTCTACTTAAATCTTCACATTTTTCACTGTCACTGTCACTGTCCTCCCGTTGTTCATTAATTTGCTCAAGCGGGCCCAGTAACGTTGTAAGACTTGTTACTGTGTTTGGCATGTTTGGCATATTGAATACATCACGGGTAGCTTGCCAGGCTTTGCTGTGCAGGCGAGATACTCTCAGTAGCTTCAGGGCTCTCTGAGAAGGGCAGAGGAGTCGAACTTGGGTCGATGGGGTTGACCACAAGCAAGGCAAACACCCTACTCGCTGTGCTATCGCTCCAGCCCTATGTTGAGTTTTCTATCCAGTCATAGGTTTTAATTACTTTTTTAAGAGCTTCAAAAACTCTTAATTTCTTAGAAAATAGGCATTATTTCTTTCTCATTTATCTTATATTCATATGCTGGGAAATCTCAAGGCTTTGATTTCTTTCTACAGGAAAAGCTCCAGGCATCTCTGGAGCAACTGAAAAAGAAGCAGCAGGAAGCTGAACAATTTGAAACTGCTCTCAGAGAACACAGAACTTCTTGGCAGGTAACGATACTTCCTGAGGAATTTCCTGGTGAAGAAGAAACTTTGTGAGGAAATCAGATAAATTGAAAGCTTGAGTTTTAGGAAGATGGAATTCCATTCTTATTTTTCTTCTTTATTAATAGGACCAAATGGCATTTGACTATCAATTCTTAGTTCTTTCCCAGACAGAGGTAAAGATTGGAAAGTGATCTTTCCAATCTAATGTTTAATGTCTAACTTCTAATGTTTATTAGAAGTCCCTATAGAGGGAGTTAGTGGTGAACATAGCTAGGGAAATTTCTGTCACATTTCCATCATTTTTTTAGATTTATTTCTGGGTCACACTCAACAATATTCAGGTGTTACTACTGACTCTATCCAGGAATCAGTCCTGGTGATGCCCTGGGGATCAAAGCAGGTCAACTATGTTTTTTAAATCAACATTTCTGGAGAAAGTGCTCCACATACGGCTCCTGGGTTAGTCTTCTATGTGAAATTTTGCAAGAAAATGAGAGCTAACTTCAGAAAATATATTATCCAGGCTAGCAGGTGAAAACTGAGTCACATCCTTGCACTCCTTTTTGGCTCAGGATTGGCCTCCATATTATAGATCTGAGGCCACTGTTTTTGAATTTGATGTGGGGAAGTAATCTGAAAAGCCACTTGCCTTCAAGAGTGGTTCCCATTGTTTTAATTTCTTTAGAGAACTTTTCAATTAGTATACTTATTTTTTTCTGACTTCCAATCTGTGCCTTATATCCTGACCTTTATCTCTTTCTCATTCTTTAAGAATCAAATGGAATATGATATTCACACTGTCCAGAAGGCATTTAAAGAAATAAGAGATATCATGGATTTGAAGGAACAAAAGGAGCTGCAAAAGCTGAGGGAAGAAGAAAAAAAAATTCTCCATGACCTGTCAGAGTCTGAGAAGGAGCTGGTTCAACAGAGCGAGTTCACGAGAGGTCTCATCTCGGATCTGGAGCTCAAACTACAGGCATCAGCGAAGGAGATGCTGCACGTAAGACTTGGGAAGCAGCTCCAGACCCTGAGATTTGAGGGAAATGAGAACCTTTATTTTGTTACCTTCTTTATTGCTCTGCTCTGACACTTAGATTCTTTGTCCCTGTAGTAGAACTTCCCTGAATTCATTTTAAAGGCTATTGAAACAGTAAAAAGCTTGAGTAATAAGAGAAAAATCTCATTTTTATTAAGTTATCAAGTGCAGAGCAAAAACCAGACCAAAGATCCAGTGTGTTTGAGGTACTCTGTAGATTTCTGTCACCTGCGAACCAGTAGCGTAAAGCAATTAATAATTATAAAAAGTAATTAATAATTTATATATAATTAAATATTTAATTTAATTTAAATAAATTAATAATAAATTAATTTAAATAATTAAATATAAATAATTAATAAAAAACAGATTAATAATCTTCCAGCATTTGCCATCAGCAAATACACTTTGTATTCTGAGTCTTTTCCTTTTTTCATAGATAGAATTCTTCCCTCTTTTCCTGTTTTCTAAAAATAATTTATGAATGGCAGTGTTACTTTTTCTTCATTCAGTTGAATTCACCATCTATCTCAGGATAGCTATCTCAAGGTTCTTTTATTAATAATTAAAGTATATTTTTGTTTTTATTTGTATCAGGTTTATACTTTTTTACTGTTTGAGTTCATTTTTGTCAGTATTATCTTTGTCGGAACTAATTTCACCTATCTTAGAAAAAAATTAGTCTTAAAATTACTTATTACACCATTAATTTATATAGAGTCCTCAGTTAATAGAACCACAGAGATAATGCAATAAGTGAGGTTATGCTTTCACACATCTAAGTTGTGTCTGATCTCCAGCATCACATATAATCAATCATCTGTGCATCACTGGGAATGATTCTGAGAAGAGCCAGGAGTAAGTCTTGAGTATCACTGAGGGCCAAAATCAGGAAAAAAAGCAAAAAACAAGCAAACAAACAACAACAACAAAAAACCCTTAAAAATTGACTTTATTTTTATTTAGGTGATTATTTTTTTTCTATTTCTGGATCTAGTTGTTTCAACAACTTTATTGGTTTTTCAAGAACACACCTTTTTGTTGTTGTTGTTGCTGTGTTGCTATTGGTTGTGTGCCACACCGGGTGATGCTCAAGGGTTCCTCCTGGCTCTGCACTCAGGAATTACTCCTAGTGGTGCTTTATCCTCTGTACTATCACTCCACGGAGAGCTTACCAGACTCTATCGTGCCATAATTTCTTCAAAGTTTGTTTCATTTACATAGAATGGTCTTCCTAGGTTAGAGTAGAGAGAACAAAGACACACACACACACACACACACACACATACTTCAATGGAGGGTTACATGAAACACAGTATCAGGGGGCTGGAGTGATAGTACTGGGTTTAATCCTCTGGCACCACATATGGTCCCCAAGTATCTCAGTAGTGATCCTTAGACACAGAGCCAGGAGTAATCCCTGAGCATGCCCGGTATCATGGCGGGTATGCAGATCAACCCCTATCCTCCCTCTCACCCCCCACCCTCCCACATAAAAAAAAAAACCAGTATTATGATGGGGTATCCATTGTTGAGGACATCTGCGAAAATATTATCTGTCACAATAGCTTTTTAATGGATAGGAGAAAAATCTCTCATTAAAAACTATTAAGTCAGATTAAAATATGAAATGCAATGTAGTGAGTTATATGCATTAATATTGCAAGAAGAACAGCACACTTAAAGCATCCCCCCCTCCCGTTGATCGTCGATTTGCTCGAGCGGGTCCAGTAACGGCTCCATTGGAGACTTTGTTGTTACTGTGTCTGGCATATCGAATACTCTCGGTCGCTTGCCGGGCTCTCCAAGAGGGGCGGAGGAATCGAACTCGGGTCGGCCATGTTGGCCGCGTGTAAGGCGAACGCCCTACCCGCTGTGCTATCGCTCCAGCCCATCTTAGAATAAATTTTTATCCTGACATTAATAGGGATGTTAAGTGCCTCTCCATTTAGTGTCTTTACATCACGATTTTCTCTTCTCATCTTGCAATGCTGAGAAGCAAAGTTACCCACTTTTCGATTAGTGAGACTTACAGTAGTAGGTTCCTGCATTAGGTCACATGGGGCTCACTGACTCTACTGAGGTATGACTCCAGGACTTCAGAATAAAATCACAGTATCATTCTATATTTGATCATCAGTCCATTGGAATAAAATTTAGTACCCATTTTAGAGAATACCTAAGTCCAGCTAAGAAATTCCTAGTCTTTCTACATACATTGTTGATCTGGAAAATCGGGGAATCTAGAGGGAGTATGATACTTTAACAATTTTATAATGAAAAAAATTAAGAATATATATGTCTTAAAAAATTAATTGTTGGTTTAATAATTGGGATGAGCATGGTTTTACAAGTTTAGTTCCAAGTAAATTCACCATCTACTGATGGCACTATCAATCCTGTTAAAATGTTTTCCTTTAAATTTTTTTCAACTTTCAAGGTCTTTTTGTTTGTTTCTTTAAAAAAAAAGACTAAGCAATTCCCCCAAGTGAAAGTATACAAGGATCCCCAGTCTACAAGGGAAGGAGCTATTCAGCAACAATACTGCTCTACCACCAGCATGCAGCACCCACCACCAGCACAAACCAACCCCAGGTGCATATTCAATAGAAAGGCATTCATTTTTACCATAAGCTGTGTGACACTGTTCATAGCAGCTATGTTTATATACTAAAAGTCCACCAGTAGTAGTAGAACACATCAGCTAGTTGTGGTCACATGACAGAATATTATACAATGACAAAAATAACAAAACACTGCTACAAGCAAAATGCGGATGCATCTCTCCGGTACATGTTGGGGGAAAAAATAAATGCAGTGTTAGATATAAAAGAGACAAATGTTGTCATCCTATTTAGATGGATTATCATAAACAGGTAAAAGAAGAATACTGGTTACCTTTGGTTGAGGGGATTGAAAGGAAGGGGGCGGCAAAGAGTTTGCTGAGGTCCCGGAAATGTTCTATTTCTTAATCTGGATGCGGGTCCCGGGGCTGAGGTCTCCAAGCCTACTCGGATTGGGACTGGGCCTTCTCCAACCAGACCCCCATTTTCCAGTAGGTAGGCGTCATACCCACCAGCTGCTGCCAGTGCCAGGTTGATCCCATCAACGGCCAAGACGCAGAGACTATAAAATCCAGCTCCCGGAAGCGCGCGGCCGCATTTGCGGCCGCACGACATCTTATTATCTTTTTTTTTTCTTCCCCTTTGGAGAACCTGGCAGGCTACCCAAAGCATCCTGCCCACACGGTAGAGTCTGGCAAACTTCCGTGTCGTATTCAATATGCCAAATACCAGTAACAATGATGGGTCTCATTCTTCTAATCCTGAAAGAGCATTGAAATTGCTCTTTTAAAATCTCAGGGCTAGGATGAAGGAGACGTTACTGATGCCTGCTCGAGGGAATTGACGAACAACAGGATGCTTGTGCTTGTGTGCTTAATCTGGATAGTAGATTTATGGACATATCACTGTATCACTGTTCACCCGTTCGTCGATTGACTTGAGTGGGCACCAGTAACGTTTCTATTTATCCCAGCCTTGAGATTTTAGCAGCCTCTCCTTACTAGTCTTTCCCAATGATTGGAGGCTCTTTCAGGGCCAGGGTAATGAGACGTGTTATAGTTACTGGTTTTGGCATTTCAAATACACCATGAGCTGGAGCGATAGCACAACGGTAGGGCATTTGCCTTGCACCCAGCCAACCCGGCCGAGCCGGGTTCAGTTCCTCCACCCCTCTCGAAGAGCCCGGCAAGCTACCAAGAGTATCTCAACTGCACGGCAAAGCCTGGCAAGCTCCCCATGATGTATTTGATATGCCAAACACAGTAACAACAAGTCTCAAAATGGAGAGGTTACTGGGCCCGCTGGGGGCTGGAGCGATAGCACAGCGGTAGGGCATTTGCCTTGCACGCAGCCAATATGACTGGCCCGAGTTCGATTCCCCTGCCCCTCTCGGAGAGCCCGGCAAGCTACCGAGAGTATCTCGCCCATATGGCAGAGCCTGGCAAGCTCCCCGTGACGTATTCGATATGCCAAACACAGTAACAACAAAGTCTCCAATGGAGACATTACTGGGCCCACTCGAGCAAATTGACAAACAACGGGAGGGTCTTTACTTTTACTTTTACTTTTACTGGGCCCGCTCTAGCATGTGGATGAACAATGGGAGGACAGTGACACACAGTGACAATACACCATGAGGAGCTTGTCAGGCTATGACCGTGTGGGCAGGATACTCTCAATAGCTTACCGGGCTCTCCAAGGGGCATATATATGGATATATACATATATAAACATATACCTATAAACATATATCGATATACACATATATAAACATATACATGGATATATACATATATAAATTCTCATTGCCTTTCTCATTGAGATTCATATGTCAACATACATAAGTAGTACATTTAAAACAAAAAATAGTCAAATGGAATTGATTAAAATATACAAGGACCTGTTGAAGGCTCAGCTCCTAATCTTCCGCATCTTCACTAATCTTCACTTCCATCCCAGCCCCTGCAGGACCATAAGGCTGCAAACAGCTTAGTTTAAAAGAGGGCTGGAGAGATACTATAGGAATTAGGACACTTGTCTTTCATGCAGCTGACCTGGGTTTCATGCTCCCTCAGCATCACATGTGATTCCCTGAGCTCTACAAAGAATAATCCCTGAGCCTAGAACCAGAAGTAAACCCTGGTCACAACTCAGTGTGGCTTGCCTGGTGGTGGTAGTGGAGGAGGAAGAACAAAATACAAAGAGCACTAGATGAGAGAATTTAGAATTTTTAAGACAGGACAAGGAGAACAGCGAACACAGTCTCTGACCCATCATTCAGCCAGTGCCCACTATTGTTCTGATCTTTACTGTCTGTTCTCCTACTTTTTCACTGCTTGTTCATAATAAAATATACACATATAGCTTTAAAATATCAACAGTAATTTAATAAAATATTTACTTATTTCCCAAGTCCAGCCTTCTTTCAAGTAGATAAAGAGAAGTTTCATTGTCAAGTCACACATCCAGTAAGTGATGAAGTTCACAATAAAATCCAAGCATCCCTGATCCATAAAACACAATCTAAGTACTATGCTCAGTAAAACCAAATAATGGAGTTAACAGAGGCGGTGACTAATCCTAAGGGAGTAACTGCCAAATAGACTACTGTCATGAAGGGAAGAGTTCAGGAAGGAGTTAAAGAGTTTAGGATCCTGGAATAATAAACTGGATAAATAAACTTGCTTATTACTATTTCTCTCCAATCCCAGTGAGCTCAACTGCTAATGATGGTGCCACCATTCTAATGCAGAGCATTGAACAAGCTTCAGAATTGGAGCCAAAAGGAAAGAACTCTGGGAGCAACATGGGACTCATTGGGGAGTGAGTGATCCGGGGAAAGGACCATGAATCTCATCTCTGCTTCACTCTAGTTCAGAACAGAACCCCTCTCTGAGGACATCTCTGGGGAAAGAGGTTGATCCTCAATGCCAGACTCTTTAAAAGGGACTATTAAAAAAAATGAAGCGGACATGCGAATGTTAAATTTATCTAAATTATCTAAAATCCCCCTTGCTTCCTTTTCAGTTTTAAACTAACTGCCCCCTCCTTGCTTCCAAAACGAAGACTGAGAGGCTTCAAGGCAGTTCTGATGTTCAAACGATCCATCATTTTAATCCTCACTTCTTTTCTGGTCCTGGCTATTACTTTCCATTCTTACCTCTTTCTGTTTAGCCAGAACAACGATTCTTAAGTGTAGAGAATAAGGGTGACTTTCTCAGACCCATAATTTTAGGTCTCCCTGCTTGAATGATGCCCAACCACTCCAGTGACATTCCGTTTTTTAAGGAGCTTCGCCAGGGGTTGGACCCTGACTCATTCCCAACTATGTGTACTCAGACCTACTATCATTGCTGAACATGGTCTTTACACATTGCCCTTTTGTGCCATTAGGACAGGAACTTTAGGACAGGAACTTTTTGATAAGTGAAATGAGGATAAGCAGAGAAGCAGTGACCATTATTTTTTTCTGCATAGAAAATGATCAGGCATTGCCGGGTACCCCCTCCACCACTACCACCAAATCACAGGCAAGAGTACACAAAGTCAGCAGTATTCTCTAGCAAGAGGTGCCTGGCTAGACAAGGTAGATAAAACCCAACACATTTGTGGCTTCACTTACCCAGGGGCTGCATGGAAAACCAAAGAGCGTCTGGCCAGAAGTCTGAGGCTGGGCTCATGGGAGGACCAGGTGCTCAGGGTGTGTGCACAAGTGAGAAAGAGACATCTATCCACCTGAGCATGTAGGGCCATCCACCTTGCTGGAAGGCAGAGGGCCAGGTGCTGGTGGGGAGTGCATATTCCCCACTGAAGAAAGCCAGGAACCCTGCTCAGTCACCCAAAACAGGATTTGCTCTTACTCAGTTTCCAGCTTGCCTGATGCCAACAGACCTTTACAGGGTGGTGGTCCCTCTTCCACAACAGTGTATGGTGTATTTGATATGCCCCAAACAGTACCAATAACAGGTCTCATTCCCCTGACCCTGAAAGAGCCTCCAATACAGCAGCATTAGGAAGGATGAGTAAGGATGAGTAAGGAGAGGCTGCTAAAATCTCAGTGTTGGGACGAATGGAGATGCTACTAGAGCCCGCTCAAGCAAATCGATGAACAATGGTATGACCATGATACAGTGATACTATCACTTCAGACCCCAAACAGATCTTGTTTTAAGGCTTTTAAAAATGTTTATATTATTTATTTCTGGACTATCATTATTATTTTCTGTGTATGTATATATGATTGGATACTACTATTGTACCTTTACATTTTCTGAATTAGAAACTTGGAAAACTTTTTTGATGATTGTTTCCTAAGTATTTAATGATACAATGCACTGCTATAGCTGTAGTTTTTACTCAATGATTTTTTTTTATTTATTTCATTTAGCCTCACATAATTTCAAATTCTGGAAATTTTTTGACTTATAAATTATTTTTAAAGCAAGTTGTTTAATGTAACAACTTCTTGGTAATTTACTACTTTATTTTACTATAGACTTTAAAATTAATTTATTTCTAGTGATAGACCATATATCTTACTATACATATAAATACATTGATTTTTTATGCTCTAAAATATTGTATTTCCTGAATGTTTTTCTATAACCACTCTAGAAGATATGTCTTTTGAATTAATTTAGTGAAATGGTTAATTAATGTCAGTTGGATCTATCTGGTTGATAAAACTACTATGTCTCCAAAACAAATATTTCAAAAAAATTTTTTAAGTGTTTCACCTTTCCAATATAGGTTTTTAACTTTTTCCTAATTTTTCTCTAGTGGTAATATTTCCTTTCTCATCATGGTCTGCTTCATATGAATACTGAATTAATTCTACTTCATCACTGATTTGGCAAAGTGCTACTATTAATATGAACCTTATGTTTTTGATTGTTTGCTTGGTTTTTAGGCCGAACCTGGCAGCATTCAGGATTTACTCCTAGCTCTGCAAGGAATCACTGCTGGCAGGGCTCAGGGGACCATCCACATATGTGGTGTTAGAGATCAAACATGGGTGAGCTGTTTGGAAGGCAAGCACTGATTACTATGGCCCTTTTTCTTTGTTTTGTTTTGTGTGTTGGGCCACACCCAGCAATCCTCAGGGGTCGTTCTTGGCTCTGCACTCAGGAATTGCTCTTGGCAATGCACTGGGCACCATAGGGGATATTGGCAATTGGATGGAACCCAGTTCACTGCGTGCAAGGCAAGCACTTCACTTGCTATACTATCTTTCCAGCCCCTCCTTCCAGCTTCTTAATATGGGCCCTAAACCCAACAAAAGTCAATGCTATGCAGTCTCAGAAATTTTTGGTTTAATTTGGTAAGGAAGACTCCCCCTCCCCAAAATTTTGTTAACATTTTGTTTCCTTCCTGAAGTAAGAATAAGATCACTGGATCTATTCTACTTCATTACGGAGTAGTGAGAATGTGATGAAGCACTGTAAGTGAAGTGAGTTTATTAATTATAGACTCATATTTTCTCTTTTCTCCCTAGAATGTGAATGATGTCCTCAAAAGGTATGTATGAAGATCAGAAATGGTCCTTTTGTGCAGTGAAAAGAAATTTAATATCATTGCAGTCATCGGGTGATGAATAAGAATAAAACATTGTTCTCCATAGTTTTATATTAGATTTCTATTTCTGAATCTTGGCTTGTATGATCTCTAAGTTGAGAATGGACTTGTCTGGTAAATAATTTGGGTGAGAGGATGTTACAGAGTTCTAATGAGTGACACTTTTAGTGATTAATTAAGCGATGCCTTAATTTTAGCCTGTTTCTGTATTTAACTCAGAAATTTGAATTAAGGTAGAAAAATGTTTGCTTTATTTGCTAAATATCCAATTTTTAAGTTTTTCACCTTTCCAATATAGGTTTTTAACTTTTTCCTAGTTTTGGATATTTAGCAAAAATGTACTCTTTTCTAAAAAAAAATACCATCCTTTTATTTGTTGATGCCATTATAAAAACTGATTACATTATCAACAAAAAGGTGTTTTCTTGAGTTGAAGTCAGAGGCAGTTACTCCTCAGAGTGTTAAAACAGTGTACAACATCAGTATTAAAGTATTATATTTTCCATTGTCTTTACCATTATTGATCTTCTGAATAATTTTACTGACAAAATAAAATAAATGGTTATGTGTTTATCTTCAGGAATGCAAAAGTCTAATTATTCAAACAGCTTATATTATAAAACTAAACTCTAAAGGTGTCTACAGAGTTGGCATTTCTCTCTTTAAGTCAGTAAGCTAACAAGGATTAGAAAAGACAAACCTTCAGTGTTTCTGACAAAGTAGAAAGAGTGAAAACATAAATAAGGCTTAAATTTGGCAAAATATAATACATGTATTCTGTTATCTTTGAATAGGTTGCTAGTCACTTCACTCTGAACACTTTGTTATTTCTCCTTTGCGAGTTGTTGGTTTACTTCTTGAAGCAGCTTCTGTAACTGTGTAAAGTCTGATTTAGATGTACAGGCATTGCCTCCTTCTCAGAAGACTCCATTCCAGGGCACCAATCACTACTCACAGTAACAGTAGTGTCTCCAGCAGCTTTGAAAATTTTTGACCTGATAAGATCCAGTGACTACTGAGTCTTAAGCCAGTCATTGGCTACCTTCTGTCTTTGACTTTTTACAGTTCTAAGTGTTGTGAGTGTTTCATTTAACAGCCTCTTTTTTGTATTTTTTTCAATTTTATTTTTATTGGGAGTCACACTCAACAATGGTCAGGGGTTACTCATGGCTCTGCACTCGGAAATCACTCCTGACAGTTCTTGGGGCACCATATGGGATGCTGGGGATCGAACCAAGGTTGGGCATCTGCAAGGCAAACGCCCTACTTGCAGCTCCAGCCCCTCAACTGCCTCTTTAGTTCTCAGATGTCTATAACACAGGGAGATCATTCAACTTCTGTCTTCTCTAGTTCCATTTGTACATGCTGTCATTCTCTTTTTTATTTTTTTAATTTTGTTGAATCACCATGAGATACTTACAAGCTTTCATGTTTGAGTTACAATCACACAATGATCAAACACTCATTTCTCCACCAGTGCACATTCCCCACCACCAATATCTCCAGTATAAACCCCTTTTCCAAGCCTCCTCATGCCTCCATGTCAGACAATATTCACCATTCTATTTCTCTACTTTTGGGCATTATGATTTGCAATACAGATATTGAGAGGTTATCATGTTTGTTCCATTATCTACTTTCAGCACACATCTCCCATCCTGACTGATTCCTCCAGCAATCACTTTCTTAGTGATCCCTTCTCTATTCCAGCTGCCTTCTCCCATTTGATCATGAGGCAGGATTCCAGCTATGGAGCCATATTCCTGGCCCATGTATCTACTGTCCTTAGGTGTCAGCCTCATGTTATGTTATTTTATACTCCAAAAATGAGTGCAGTCCTTCTATGTCTTCCCTCTCTTTCTGACTCATTTCCTACTCTCCATGTCTATACATTTATAAGCAAATTTCATGACTTCATTTCTTCTAACAGCTGCATAGTATTCCATTGTGTTGGTGTATCAAAGTTTCTTTAACCAGTCATCTGTTCTAGGGCATTTGGGTTGTTTCCAGATTTTGGCTATTGCGAACAGTGTGGCAATGAACATATAGGTACAGATGTCATTTCTACTGTGATTTTTTGCATCCTTGGGATATAGTCCCAGAAGTGGTATTGCAGGGTCATATGGAAGCTTAATTTCTAGTTTTCGAAGGACTGCCCATATTGTTTTCCAAAAAAGCGGGACTAGTGGGCATTCCCACCAACAGTGAAAGAGCGTCCCTTTTCCCCCACATCCACACCAGCACTGGTTGCTTTTGTTCTTTTGAATGTGTGCCAGTCTCTGTGGTGTGAAATGATACCTCATTGTTGTTTTGATTTGCATCTCCCTGATGACTAGTGATGTGGAGCATTTTTTTATGTGCCTTTTGGCATTTGTATTTCTTTTTTGAGGAAACTTCTGTTCATTTCTTCTCCCCATTTTTTGATGGGGTTGGAGGTTTTTTCTTGTACAATTCTACTAGTGTCTTGTATATCCTGGATATTAATCCCTTATCCGATGGGTATTGGGTAAATATTTTTTCCCATTCTGTGGGCTCTTTCTGTATTTTGGTAACTGTTTCTTTTGAAGTGCAGAAGCTTCTTTGTTTGATGTAGTCCCATTTGTTTATGTTTGCTTCTACTTTCATGGTCAGTGCTATTTCGTCCTTAAAGATGCTTTTAGCTTCAATGTCGTGGTGAGTTCTGCCTCCATTTTTCTCTATTTACCTTATGGATTCCTGTCTAATATTGAGGTCTTTAATCCACTTTGATCTGACTTTTGTGCCTGGCATTAGACAGAGATCAGAGTTCATTTTTTTGCAGGTAGCTATCCAGTTTTCCCAGCACCACTTGATGAAGAGACTTTCCTAGTTCCACTTCATGTGTTTTGCTCATTTGTCAAAGATTAAGTGGTCCTGTATTTGGGGGTGTGTGACAGAATATTCAACTCTGTTCCATTGGTCTGCAGGTCCAATACCATGCTGTTTTAATTACTACTGCTTCGTAGTACAGTTTGAAGTTGGGGAAGGTGATGCCACCAATCTTCTTTTTCCCAAGGACAGCTTTAGCTATTTTTGGGTTTTTTTTTTTGTTCCATACGAATTTCCTGAGTGTTTTGTCTGTTTCTTTGAAAAATGTCATGGGTATCCTGATAGGAATCCCATTAAATTTGTATAGTGCTTTGTGCAGTATTGCCATTTTGATAATTGATAATGTTAATCCTCCCTATCCATGAGCAGGGGATGTGTCTCCATTTCCTAGTGTCCTCTTTCATTTATTGAAGAATTGTTTCATAGTTTTCCTTGTATAAGTCTTTCACCTCTTTTGTTAGGCTGATTCCGAGGTACTTGATTTTCTGAGGTACTATTGTGAATGGGATTACTTTTTTTTCATTTTTTATAATTTTATTTATTGAATCACCATGAGAGCAGTTACAAAGCTTTCGGGTCTAAGTCTCCGTCATACAATGAAATACCCATACCTTCACCAGTGCCCATTCTCCACCCCCAACAACCCCAGTATACTCCCATCCCACACTCTCCCCTTACCTGTGGGGCAGATGATTTCCACATTACTCTCTCTCTACTTTGATCCCATTCAATATTTTGACACCAGACCCACCATTATTATCTGAGATTTTCCCCCAACACTCAGATCTGCTGAAAAGGGAACAGATCTGCTGAAAAGGCAGTTTGTTTTCTATTGCTGGTTATGAAAACATATGATGTCGCATGTCTGCAGTAGTGGTCGCGTGATTTTGAAATTCCGAAATTTCAACACTTAAATATGGAGGGATTTCTGCGAAAACCTGCTGTCTTCTGAGATTTGCTCCTGAGTTTCTGGCATCATGGCCTTTAAGCAGCTTGATCAGGAGCCAGAAAAGGCGTTCATGGGCGATTACTTCGGGTTTCTTTGGGGTGGGGAGGACAGGACTGGCTCTACCCCCATCCCGTGATGTCCCAAAATGTCTCGTCACTGCGGGCCCAAACCTGACTGTCTAGTGGTCTCTGGAGGATGACGATCACCGAGCTGCCAGGGAGAGCAGGCAGAGGGGAAACACCCTTTCCCCCCTGGGGTGGCCTGGTGACAGTAACCTGCTGTTTGGTCCGGATGCATTTCTGCCAAAAGCCGCTACGTTTCGAGATTTGTTTCTGAGTCTCTGGGATCATGGCCATTAAGCAGCTTGATCAGGAGCCAGAGAGGCCATTTGTGGGTGTTGACTTGGGGTCTCTTTGGGAAGGGGAGGACAGAACCGGCTCCACCTCCACCCTGTGAGGCCCAACAAGTTTCATCACTGCGGGCCCAAGCCTGACTGTCCAGTGGCCTCTGGAGGATGTGGCCACCAAGCCGCCAAGGGGGAGCAGGTGGAGGGACAACACCCTTTCCCCCCTGGGGTGGCCCGGAGACAATAACCTACTGTGGGGTCCGGACACATTTCTGTCAAAAGCCACTGGGTTTTGAGATTTGTTTCTGAGCCTCTGGGATCATGGCCATTAAGCAGCTTGATCAGGAGCCAGAGAGGCCATTTGTGGGTGATGACTTGGGGTCTCATTGGGACGGGGAGGACAGGACCGGCTCCACCCCCATCCTGTGAGGCCCAACAAGTTTCGTCACTGTGGGCCCAAACCTGACTGTCCAGTGGCCTCTGGAGAATGGCGGCCACCGAGCCACCAAGGGGGAGCAGACGGAGTGACAACACCCTTTTCCCCCTGGGATGGCCTGGCGACAGTAACCTACTGTGGGGTCCAGAAGTGTTTCTGCCAAAAGCTTCTGGGTTTTGAGATTTGTTTCTGAGTCTCTGGGATCATGGCCGTTAAGCAGCTTGATCAGGAGCCAGAGAGGCCATTCGTGGGTGATGACGTGGGGTCTCATTGGGGTGGGGAGGACAGGACCGGCTCCACCCCCATCCCGTGAGGCCCTATGTATCTCGTCACTGCAGGCCCAAAGCTGACTGTCCAGTGGCCTCTGAGGGATGGCGGCCACTGGGCCGCCAGGGGAACAGGACAAGGCATGAA